CCCACCGCGTGTCGCCTTTTCTCGCGTGGGGTGATTTTCACGCGCGCTCGCGTTTCGCTCGCTCTACTATCCCTGAGGAAAAATGGGGACTACTCGCAGTATGTTGCACTGGTGTGCAAACGGATGCAACAGATCCCAACAACACGCAACAACATGCAACAGGGTGTGCAAACGGACGTAACATGTAAAATCCAACAATGTTGGGATTTTTTTTGCCAACAATGTTGCGGTCGTTTGCACGGGGCTATAGACGCAAAGCATCATGATAAACTTGATTAACAATGGTAGTGTTTCCAAGGGCGATCCGTTTTTAATCTCTCTTATATTTATTGTTTTAACTAAATCAAATCTTCAATGCAAAAACTCTGTCAACCTATTTATAAAGAGCTTTAAGTAGGTAAACATTTTGTTATAATAATCTTACCTTAATCCATGACAGTGAATCATGAGGTGTAAGCTCCTCAACTAAAGTCAGCTCTTCTTCCAGCGCAGTGCATGTCCGACCTGACTTTGACAGTCGTTTCTATGAATGGAGTGAGCCAATTTAGGTTTCTGGGAAACTGCCCACCTACCCCTCCCCCCCTCCCTCCCCTAACTCACACTTGGGGCAAAATGTTGGGTTGATCCGATGGAGTATACAGCAGAGAAATAAACGATCTTTCTGAATACGAGCTTAAGTAATAAAAAGTACAGCTTCTTTGCTGTTCAGAGCGTCTCTGGAAAACACAGCAGAGAAATAAACGATCTTTCTGAATACGAGCTTAAGTAATAAAAAGTAAAGCTTTTTTGCTGTTCAGACCGTCTCCGGAAAACACTGCATAGAAATGTATTAACATGAGTTTACGTAACAAAACGACTGCTAATACTTCTTTCAATGAAGTTCCCACTATCGTGAAAACATTACTAGAAAAACTCCTGGAATGTATAATAACCTATAAAGCACGGTCCATGAAGTAAAATTATGAAAATTCAATGGTATATTTAGCCCAATAGATTTCAAACAAAAGGCATCGTTTTAGAGAGTGAGATGTAATCCCTGCTTTATTGCGGAAGGCATTCTTTGCCGCCATAAAATAGGTAAGTTGTGACATTTTTGAGACTTTACAAAGAGATTTCTCATAAAAATGTGAGGACTTGTTAGCTGGTTAAAAGTTGATGAAATATATAAGTTTACCTCTTTCAAATGCTCGCAAGGTAACATCTATGTACAAAAATTGCATTTTCTATCCTCCTCGCTATTACAAAAAAGGTCTGTGACACTTGACACTTTCGCGCGTTCAGATTCAGAACTGTGAATTGATTCGCTACCTCGTTTGCTGCATAATCTTATAATGACATACAATGACACGGTAACCTGCAATTCTGTTATTGCAAACGGCTCGATAAATTTTACTTATGATTGTTGAGAAATGTTTAGACTTGCTCCAAGTCGACCTCTTGGCGAGCGGAGCGAGCCTTTTTTGGCCGCGAAGCGGCCGACCGCGAGCGACGAAATCGCGAGAGGTCGACTTGTCTCGCTTGATGGGTTTCCATTTGCATTTCGCGCCAAAAATGGGGATTGCCGTGACTCGCATTTGGGGTTTCAGGTTTCATTTGCGAGTCCTTGAATTCAATGGCCGAATGTGCTGATTCGACTCCGACTAAATCTATTGAACGTGTGTGTTTATCTCCATCATCGAAGGAGCAAATTTGTTTACTTTGTGCGAAAGTTGTCTCTAACAATGATTTTAGGCGAAAGTTGATGACCTCAGGGAAAAAGAAACTTGTTTCAATCTCGAGTCAATACTGGGAAAGGAAATTTCACAACCAAGAAATCCTTGACATCCGCACACATTTTAAACCTACAGAGACTTTTCAATACACGCATTTCTCTTCCTGTAACCCTCACGGGGTCAGAACTAACTCCTCAGCTAAATCGTTCTATGAAAACATCTACAACTTCAAAAAACGCCTTCGCGCTAGAGTTTACCCTCACAATCTCATACGAAAAATCACTTCTGAGGTTACATTTACCGAACGGAAGTCAGCTTTACAAAAGAACAATGAAGTGCGAAAGAAAATTGTGCCTCTCGTTACCACGTACCACCCTTCTTTGCAGAACCTTAAAAACATTTTAATGAGCAAATGGCACTTAATTGAAGATCAACCACTACTAAGAGAAATATGCAACAAGCCTCCCATCATTTCATATAAAAGAGCAAAATCGCTGGGAGATATCCTCGTTAAAGCAAAACTATAAGGTCACTTATCACACTATCACGAGCTTATGAGTCAAACCGCAAGTCACGTTTCAGTGCGCTTAGTACATGTGAGTGACAGGTTTATCCCCAAGGGTCCTTAGGAGCTATTCTGATTGGTCCATGCGCACAGACCCTTTTTTGGGTCTGTGAAATTGGCACCGATCAAGTATAAAAAGTCCGTCGTCCCGCGCCATATGAAATCCGACGAAGGACTTTTTTGAAAGTCTAAGAAATGTTGTGCACCATAAAGGCTGGTTTTCAATAACGACGGAGTCAGAGTCGGAGTCGTAATCAGAAGCGAAGAACTTTCCGATCTGGTGAAAACAGCATTCTGATTCCGCTTACGACTCCGACACTTACGATCAAGTGAACAATAGGTTGTCGGAGTCGTAAGCTGAAGCGGAAGAACTAAACCAATCACAAAGCGTGGGAACGGGCATTGTGATTGGTTTATCCTTCCGCTTATGCTTCCAACTCCAACAATCTGGTTTTCACTTGATCGTAAACGACGGAGTCATAAGCGGAGTAAGAAGAAAATGAAAACGTTCTGCTTCTTCCGACTCCGATTCCATCGCGCTTATGACTGCTGACCACTCCGATTTTTTATTTTTAACAAGTCGTAAGCGCTTTTACGATTCCGCTTACGACTCCGTCGCTAGTGAAAACCAGCCTTAAGAAGACTAATGTTGGACGTTCTGTGATTTACTCACCAGCATGCCTTCTAGATGTTTCCTCAGTTCACCCGTTGACTCTTTTAAGTCTCTGTGTTTTGCTTCTTTCTACCATGGTCAAAGAAAGGAAAAAGGGTAAATGACTAAAAAAAAGCTGATAATTAACAAAAGAGAAAACCTTTTCACTTCTTAACACATTTATTCAGATTTAGCAAGCTAGCTGTCGTACGTCCATGAGCGACAACATCAACTGAATTAAGAAATTAAAAAAGGCTGCGGCAGAAGGGTCGCTATTGACTGACAAATTTAAGGGTGTGGAGGGGAGGGGTGCGGAACTTCAGTTTTCAGTTTTAGTTCAGCCTCTAATTAGGAGTTACGTCACGTAACGTAACATAGGAGTTAAGTCACGTTTTCCTACGGTAGGAAAACGCGGCATTTCTTAACTGAAGGATAACATTTTGTCCAATTAAGGCTCACAGATCAGTTAACCACACCCCCTAATAAAACCCCCACACGAAGGAACTGTTACTTAAAAAACCCATCTTCTTAATCACAAAAAATAATTGATGTTTGATCTTCCCAGTGCTATCCGGATAACGCGAGTATTAGTTGGGGTGGAGGAGGGAGATGGGGTAGGGATAAGAGAAGCTCGTTCTGTTTGAGGGAAAAAGCCGTTGATGTGGGTGACGAAGCGCACAACTCCCTCTCGTTTTCTGAAGGAGGAGAGAAGTAAGAAGGCTCCTTTTCGCAGTTTAAAGGAAAAAAAAATGGAAAAAGTCATCTTCGGGGTAAGGTTCACACTCAAAACAAACGAGGCTCTTCAGTAAATACTGAACTCACTTCACTTTCTGAGTTTGCGTACTGCTGGATTTCTTCCACTAGAGTTAACTTCTCTTGAGCCAGATTCCTCACGTGATCAAGCAATTCATCGTCATCCAGTTCATGATCAACTGTTCTTTGAACATCGCCGCGGAATGTGTGTTCAACCAACTTCCGCCGGAAGCGATCAAACTACAGAAGAACATAAATACACAGCCATTTTGAAGGAATTTCTGTAATCCCCACCTATTCCCATTTTGTGAATCGCTTTGGCAAGAGAGAATGAACTAGATCATTCTCTCTTGCTTTGGCTACTCGCTTGCACGTGACCTGATTCCCATGATACCCAAATAAAATGGCAGCCTGATATAACAAATTGCCGGGGCAGTGTGAAGTGTAACCTTTATGAAAGAACATGTTAATACTGTGGATTTTATCCAACTGTTGGCTGAGAATGTCATTTGTTATACCAGAATGTTATTGCTTACTTGCAAGCTACAAGAAGCTGGGGATAGGAAAGCCGTTCTTTACATATATTTCAGAGCAAAATATTTGATTTTTCCTGCTCTTTTTCAAATCAAGTCTGTGGAATGGTGAATGATAAAAGACACTAAGGGATATACAATTCCACAAAAAGCACAAAACCATGCCCTATATCAAACCCAAACGGTTGAAGTGATATCTTCTGTTTTAAACCAAAAGGCGACCAAAAACTAAACCCCTTTACCCATAAAGCTGATGTAAGAAAGTATTCCCCCTAGCAACATTGTTTCATTGTTTCAAAAAAGCCATGTCATCAATGCTTCAAAAAAATGCGTTACTGTAAAATCCCAGTTCACTTACTCTTTTTTCCAGTTGATGAAAGTCAACCTTGAGCAGTTTCTCAGCTCTTTGTGCGTCCAGACACTGAGCTTTAGCGTGATCCAGTTCCTGCTGAATCGCCTTGTCGCTCTTGTAAGAGAGAAGGTTTGTTTACTGATAACCTGACTGGGTCATTTTCAAGGTTAAGCGTGGGTGGGACTGGGTCGGTTTTTGTCGAACTGCATTATGGGACTTATTTAAGTATACAAGGTGGGTAAATACACAATAAGATCGACCTAAGGGAGGTTTTTGAGCCCGCAATCAAGACTGAGCAACCCCCACAAACCCTTGTTTTTACTAAAAACCGCTGAACACAAAACCTCCCCTGGGTCGATGTTACATTGTCACAACCTACAAGGTGTTCCTCAGTGAACCTAGCTCAATGGTCTTATTGTCCTCGAGTTGCTTGAAGCTCAGTTGTACAGCATGTGGACTACCCTATTTTAGGTAATTAAAGCTCCATGAAATTATGGTATTGGAAATTAACGCGACTTTAGAGGAAAACGACTTTGAAATAGAGAAAATTAACGAGGTAGAGAGGATAACAGTTCAAAATGAAGAAAATTAACGGGATGCTCACAAAGAAACTAAACTTGTTGAGACAACAGAAACAAAGTCAGGTCCAGTTCAAACGTCGAACTTTGTATGTACCAAACTTAATACCTATTTGGGTCGACCCAAATGACAACAATTCGACGGTTAATTCAGGCGTCGAACTTAATTAAGTCGGACTCTATTCACTTTCACGATGTACAATGGTCTACAATGTTTATCAGTGAAAACGAATTCTAGTAATTTATGCATTAGTTTCGACACATGAAAAGTCGCTCCACAGTCCAAAATCATGAGGGCCACTCGATCTTAATTCATGGGTTGACCCAAATTAAATATGTCGGACTTAATTAATTCAAACGCCGATCTTTGCATGTACTTAATTGAAGGGATTAGAATCGGTACGTGAAAAGTTCGACGCTTGAACTGGGCCTTAAAACGTATAATCTGAAATGGAAACTTTGTTCGTGGTACTTGCCCTAACGCACGAAGGGAGTCTAACTAAGAAATCTGGCCACTTCGAGGGTTCTTGACAGTTTCACTGTTACTGGCGGATCTCTACCCTGATAAGATACTCCTCTTTCCTGGGTGTCAAGAATGTCAGAAGTGTATCCAAAATAGTGGAAATTAAAGGAGCTGTGTCACGAAATTTATCAAAATTCAAACAGTGGGAACTGCCACCAAATTGAGTGAATCATAAAAATAACAGCTCAAAACATTATAAGAACATATATATAACAAAGCAAATACAATAGAAGGCACAGATGGACAAACTTGAAGAAGATTAAAATGGATTGCAATTGTGGTTGTTAGCCTAACAGTTTTTCAAAGTTCATTTTTGTTGTTTTTAGCGTTTGATATAATGCGTGGGAGACACATTTGTTTGGCACAAAGCTTTGATTTTGTCATTTACGATTAATTTCTCCGCTAACGTTAAGTTCAGCTGTAAGTTCCACAGCAAATAAGAACGCATAATTGGCACTAGATATTGACAAAATAAACTGGACAGCCGTGACACAGCCCCTTTATGATCGTGGAAATCAAAGCTCCACATTAACGGCGGGAAAATTAACGTTTCAAGAAATTAATGCGACTTAAATTCGTGAGGCGTTAATTTCCTATGAAAAGGCAATAACCAAAAGGTCATAGGTTCGACTCCTGTTTGGAGAATTATAAAATCTGGTAATATTATGAACTTCCGCGATGTGGTCGGACTTGCTCTGATTCAGGCACAACATCCGGGATATTCAGGTCTAGGTGCTATGGCAACTAACCTGTCTTCCTTCGCCGAGATGATCTCTCATCTTCTCTAACTCGTGTTCTAAATCAGCGATGGTTTTAATCCTTTCCTTCAATTGCTTCTCTGTGGTTTGAAGTTTCTGAAAAGGGCAAAAAGAGAAATCAAAGAAGTAAAATAACATAATTGGTACTCTCATTCACAGGAACAGACAAGAATCGACACTCTGAATACAGGCTTGGGTAACGATGCACAAATGATCTATCTCAATGAACTGCCTAAGCAAGCCGTTTCCAAATAATCCTACGGCTAAACTTAATGCATGTAAAACCGGCAGAAAAGGAAAAAGCTACTTAAGTAAACGAGCAATTAGTTACAAGGAATTACCTGCGCTAACGAGCTTGCAATACAAGCATGCATTGAAATTATTACATGTATAACTACAACGAAATAAAACTGTGATTACTGTTGGTATTAGCTTCTTCCAGTAGCTGCTTTCATGAAAACTTGGACCCTTTACTTTCCGCAAAAATTCAAAGTGTGTCTTTCCCGATAAACCAAAAATATTGCGTGGCTCTGTGCAGAAAATTTACATGTTTTTTTCAAGTGGCTTGACATTCATTAAACTTCAATGGACTCTGAAAACCTGTCAGCCACTCAGATCAGAACAAACCGAGACATTTAGACAATATAGAACGAATTATGACCCCATTAAAAACAACGGAATGAGAAAAAAACAGAAATTTTGCGAAAGACAAGAGCATTAACAGAAACAAGGATATTTAATTTGCGGTAAAACTTAATTTTGGACAATCCAGATTTCTTTGGTATTAACTAAGAAACTACAGGGAAACATAACTATTCAGATTATTGACATTCCTGAAAGGACATTTGTCTCGTTTTGTTTTCAAAACATGAAGATGTATCAACAACACAAAGGCTCAAAAGCCGAATCCATTACACTAAGTAAACAAGTAAACGAACTTCCTGCTGCACGCTCGCTGCACGCATTTGCAAGTGTAATACAGTCACAGCGCAAGTTTAATAGCCACCGTAATTTTCAAGGAGTTATAATAATTGTGCTCTAGTTGGGTTAATTTAACTACTTACAGTGGAGTTATTTTTTTCGGAGTTATTTTAACTCCAAAAAGGACTTTAAAGAACTCTTTTTCAGGAGTAAAAATCACCCCAGATTTGGAGTTAATACTGAGGAGTTAAAGAACCCCCCCCCAGAAAAGGGTTATCCTGTACCTAAAATTTTTACTCCATTTTTGGAGTTATAATAACTCCCTAGTAACTATTAATGTGCACGAAAACAAAATGGCGGCTTACGAGAATGCACTGGACCGAAAGGAGTGTGGGTTTATCAATAGCCTTCGTGTAAAACGTGTTAACAATAACGATAAAAGGATACTTAATTGTCTTGGCTTTACTTATAACATGTAACTTTGTACAAAAACATTGTCGAGTAGAGTTATGTATAAGGCTTGCTATGAATTAATCCTTCATAGCGTCAGAACTTTGCGAATAATTTACCAATTTCTATGAAATTTAGCCCACCAAATTATCCTGTAAATATCTGCATAATACAGGCTTAACTTATCTCTAACACTCCCTTGCGTATGTATGTAACAAAAAATATGTACTAAAAAGTTTTAAGCGTTTAATAATAATAATAATAATAATAATAATAATAATAACAACTTTATTTTATTGTCAATGTATTTAGCTTAACAGTTGCAAATTGAGGACACTTTCCTACGTTCTGGCACACTGATCTATTACATGACTTTTAAATTAATGATCTTACCTAAAACCTAAAACTATATACAAGTGTAAATGACTCAGAATTTACACAAGTCACAGCAGTTACTCTAGTCATCTTTATGGCTAGAAAGGTCCACACCGCGTATATGTTTCTTGAATGCTTTGAGGCTTGTCAAGTTTCTGAGCTCACTACTGACTTTTGACCTAATGAAAGGTCCTTGGTAGCGTTTGAAAAGTGAATTTAATATGTTACTGCGGGCGCAATTTCAATGAAGAGAAGCACATAATTTAGGGCCTGTTTACATGGAGGTGGGGGACCCCAGGTAGGCGTGGTAACATGTGGCGGGTCACCCTACCTATCATGTAAACGTGATCAAATTAAAATGAGAGATTATATGGACAGGCGGGTTACCTCGCCTGCCTAGGGTCCCACACCTCCATGTAAACAGGCTCTTGGAGAAATGGTTAAGATAGTTAAATTAACTGATTCTTCAGTACATCCTTTACCATTATTCCACATAATGGAAAATTAAACACGATGGAAATTGTACCTATGTACTGGCTGTTTACTAATTATTAGACCGATTACAAGGTGTTAAACCTAGAACTCTAAAATAAAAAAGGTGATGTTTCAGATGGGAAGACCTTTATAACAGATCACTCAATTCTTACCCCTTTTGTTGCATAAAGCTCTTGTTCTAATTTTTGTGCCTCTTTCTCCACTTCTTTAGCGGCCTTCTGCCTTCCCAGCTGCAAATAAGAGAAAGAAAGCTTGATTGTTACATACAGTTTGTACATATTTATTAACCCAGGGGCACCCAACGACTGTTTTCTTTAAAATATCTGTTCGGAAAAGTAACTATTCCCTATAATTATCTATCACTTGACGACGGCTAAAAATTTCTAGATGACCGTTCCATTCATGAACAATTTTCAAAGCTTATCTAATAAATTCCCTACGATTTTCTGAAGTTTAATTTTCGCGTTTTACTTCCCAAGTTCGGTTATTTTTCATTGAAAAAAGGAAACATGTGATGGAGAGATGAATAAGAAAATGTCTCACTTTCCTAATACGTCAAATTTCATCTAAAATTTTCGGGAAAATAATACTGAAGCCCGTGTAATTTCGAAAAGACTGAAGTTCTCCTAGGATGACCGAACAGATACAAATTTTACAACGCCGCTTAGAATGCTTTTCTAGATATCTTAAAGTACTCTGGATAGCCTAAAAAGTATTTTCAATGTATTTAGGAGCAAACCGTCGTTGGGTGCCCCTGATTAACCCTTAAGAGAAAAATACTATACAGGATGTTAAAAGGAGATTGGGCACTTTGACAGTTTGAACGTTGGCGTTTTTAGTGACATATAAGGGAGCTTAAGCGACGACGTCAACGAGAACGGCAAAAAAGCAATTGGTTTAGATTAGCAAAACAACAACTTTGCACGTGCATCACGCTTTTTTGTACATTTCTTAGCCGTCACTGCACGACTACGACGAGAAATTCCCTGATTTCATGTTTTGTGGAGGACGTGAACAGAAGACAACGACCTTCTTTTTCTTTCTCTGAACTTCGATACAGTCTTTTAGAGTTCAACTCTTGGAAAATTTGCCAATATTTGACGAATTGAATGAGATGGAATAAACGCGATAAAGTTTAAAGCCACGCGAATTCACTTTTTAAGTGATGTTTTCGTAGCCGTCGCCGTCGTAGTTGCTTAAGCTCCCTTGTAGCTTTAGTTCTAACGGTTCAATAGTGAGCTTAAGAAAAGACATTTTTAAACGATGCCCGTCAACTGGAAGTAGCGTTTTTGCCGTTTGGCTTGTGGCCTCGCCCAAATTTTACGGCAAATTGTCTCTATAAGAGTTAAAACACTTAGCAGTACAAACTGGTGGCGTCAGGGCATTAACAGGGAAACGGCATGACTTCCGATTGACGTGCGTCGCCCAAAACGCCTCTACTGAAACTCCCTAATGTGTAGTTGAATGATTCTATAAGTGACTCTTCTGTGTTACTTACTCTGCATGCGAGCAAGCTTTTCAGTCGAGTTACACTGTTTGAAGCCACATGCAAGCGACACACGAAAGGAAACACGAGAGAGCAGGTTGAAGAAAGAAACGAGGGCTTTACTTTCCTCTGCCTCACACGTTCTCGCTTCGCTCGCCACACAAAACGGAAAGCTTGCTCGAAGGCTGTTTTTTATAAAGTTTCATATAAGACAGCTATTGGCAGTTTAAAAGGGTCTATTCGAACCCAAATCACCACATATCTTTGCATTAACTTTTATGGTTTAACCTGAGAAAGGATTTTGCCTACACCAGGAGCGTTGCGTGACGACACTAAAATGGCTGAGAGGGAGACTAGCATCCCGTGCACATCTCAGCCCCATAATTCCGAATCCCGGCTACAAATAAGGAAAATACCGGATCCCGATATTCAAATAAGGCAAATCCCGGATCCCAAAAAACCAATTGGGGACCCTCGATACAGCCGAACGTGCTACGCGGAAAAAGTAATCGTTTCTCGTCGTAGCCTGCGAACAAGCTCTCCATGGCCATTTGGTGGAGTCGCGAGTCCCTCGAGGCTGGCTTCGTTCCCTACAGAAATGGAGAGCTTGCTAGTGGCTTCTCCACGTAGCTGAGGGCGCCTCTCGAAACTTCCCAACAAAGGGGGAGTGTTGAGCGACAGCTGTACTCGCAGGCTACGATTAAAATTATCTTTGAGGTTAAGGCAACATTAGCTTTGTGTATTATATCTAACCTTCGTCGACATGGTGGAAATTGTTGAATCCTTTTCACGTAGTTCCTTCTTAAGTTTTTCAATCTCTCTCTTCGCCTGATGCACTAAGGCGTCCTTTGCAGAGTTTTCTCTCTGTAACCCGTTCAGCAGTGTCGTGGACTGCATTTTTTGTTTGTTTAGCTTTTCATTTTCGTTGGATAGTTGAGAAATTCTTCGCTCCTTCTCAGCGATGTCAGTGCGCAACGATGCGATCTTGTTTGTGGTTGCGTTTGGGTCCGTTTTAACCCAAGCAGAAGCCTTAGACTGTAAATAATAACCAAAAATATCCCAATTTCATAAGCTTTTACAGTGAAACTCTATTTAAAATAGAAAGTTTTCCAAGTTGTCGAGGAAAACTTGCTTCAGGAAATCGAAATACATAAACAAGCGCCCCAATAAACAGTAACAGGTAAAGGTAAAGAGTCCTTATTTTATGTCGGTAGCTCAAAATAGTCATTTGACTAAGGGTTGATTTCCACTGTCGCGTAATGTTTCCGTGTAAACGCACGTAAAATTTACGCGCGTAAATGAAATAAATACATTATATAGGGCCGTTTATACGAGAGAAAATAAGTCGCGGCTTACTCGGGCCGAGGCTTACATAAGCCAAGAAAGGAACCATTTACACAAGTACGGCTTACATAAGACGCGAACTGCTGGTATAAATGGTTCACGGCTTAGTTCGCGGCCAGACCGGTCCAATGATGACGTAGTTTGTTTTGGTGTCTAGCGTAATTGGGGAAAAGCGAAACGATTGGCTTTGGTCTAAAAAATCGCCTTATTTTACATTCTTTCAAATTAACTTTTCGCTCAAGATTAGCGTTGCGTTGTTGCGAAACTTGTCGGAAACCTCGACGAAAAGTTCGTCAGCGATCAATCGAGTGGTTTGAAAGAGACGTTCCAGGGATGCATATGGATGAGGTGTTGTTTGGACAAAATTTTCAGTTTTCTCGTGCAGCAGGTCACTTTCCCGCCTCTGCAGCGCGCGTCTCTCAGCCGTGAAGGTCTGGGATATAATTGAAAACAGAGCATGCGCAGCATTTGCGGACAGTATGCCGCTTAAGCATGCCGCGGACAACGTTTTACTGCCGTTTATACGAACACTTTCATGTCCAAGGTAAGCCGCGGCTTGGATAAGCCCAACCCAAAACTCCTCGGCCAGGATAAGACGCGGCTTGAAGTAGCCGTCGGTTGAATAAGCCGTGAACGTAGATTTTGTATCATTTATACGGGGTGTTCGCGGCTTATTAACCAGGGGCCAGAGTAAGCCGCGGCTTGTTTTCTCTCGTATAAACGGCCCTAGTGTATGAAAGGCCACGCGTAAACGTGAAAGTTGAGCAAGGTTAGGCGTAACCTTCCACACATTGTCTCTATTTCATTTACGCGCGTTCGCACGATAAAAATTACGCGACAGTGGAAATCCACCCTAACAAATCTGAGGCCGACGGTGCGCTCGTTTTATCCGCCCTCTCTCCATCAGTGATCCGTTTTACGAGTATTTACAGCTACTTAAAGCTACACGGAAAGGGAAGAAGTCGAAAGAAGGATTTGAGGTCACACCTGGCAATCGTACTCAGGATCTCCCGCCCAGAAGGCCGCGTACTAACCAACTGTGCTAATCCTTTGAAAAATTCTCCCCTTAAATTTACTGCAGTAAGTCTACTTTCTGTGTAGTTTTTCATAGTAACTAAAGTAAAATTCCGGTTGCCAGCGCTTGAAGCACATGAAGCAACACGTAGATTGAAAATATTCTGCTTGTAATCATTCCCTGCTTCATCACACTTCGGCTATAATTAATACTCTTCCACCGTGCTTTTGCCATCTCTCATTGAGAACAAGTACGATGTTTATTAATCATAATAACAACTATAATCTTGCTTCCGGCCGGCTAGTTAAGACACCCTCAAATCCCTTTTCATAATTGTAGAAGCAAAGCTCCTATAGTCAGGATTCAACAACGTTCCACAGGTAAAGGCCTTATCCAAACTGTTCCCTTTTAATATACCATTTTTGGTAGAAAAGGTAGTCCTTTTCGTATACCTTCCATTGACAAATGGTACCCCTATCTCATACCTACTATCAGTTACCTTCCATTGACAAATGGTACCCCTATCTCATACCTACTATCAGTTACCTTCCATTGACAAATGGTACCCCTATCTCATACCTACTATCAGTTACCTTCCATTGACAAATGATACCCCTATCTCATACTTACTATCAGTTAGTCTTCTTGCGTAGCGTTTAATAAATTAAATTGGTACGGCCGTAAGATGCGTCGGCTCGAAATACTCAAGTTAAAGCCCCTTCTGAACACCTATAAAACAGACGATTTTCCCTACCCCTTCATATACTTCAACTCACGAAATCCTTACCCTGTACATATGCCCAAAGCCTGAAAAAGGTACCCCTTTTGGGCGGGGCCTCCCCGTATAGGCATCATGGAGAGTATCTCCACTGGCAATATTTAGGACAAACCTGTGCCTGCAATTGGTCCTTTAAAGTAGCAACTTCATTGTTTTTGGCGTGCAGTTGATTCTGGTACATCGCTAGTTTCTGCGCTGCTGCCTTCTCGTTTTCTTCCTTCTCTTGCACAATCGCTTGCAACTGCGATACTTGCTCACGAAGCTGATGAATTATGCTTGCATTAGAAAACGCTGAATCCTCTCCTCCAGCTCTGATAATAGTAAAAATAGAAAGCATCACATAATGGTCGTGAAATGATTTCAAACAGCATTTTGATCGTTTAAAGTGATCACAAGCGGCTTTGCAATAGCTTAGTAATCACAAAGGCGACAGTAGCAAAGAGTTACCAATAAGACGAATTTTGCACCCTTTCAAACATCGAATGGTCACCGGATTTTTCCAAATTGTTCAGTATGCCAAATGCAGGTGACTTTACCAAGAGTAGAATTCCTTAACGAATGTTCAGCCTACGGGTTAACACCCCATAAAACGTCGCATTAGAGAATGTCACGTTGTTGTCGTGCAGTAAGCCGTGGGCGGCTACAAACGTACCAAAAAGTTTGATAAACCTGACGAGTTGTTGTTTTGGTTCTTTTCACTGGGTTTTCTAGGAGAGGAGGCTCTAGTTCATTGTGTTAATGCGCTATGAAACTTAACGTTAGCAAAGAAATCACTTGTAAATGACAAACTTACAATTTCTTGTCAAACATTATGCCTTCTAAGCATTATATCAAACGTTGCAAACAACTTTAAATAACTGTCAGGCTAATTAGGTTTAAAAACCCAAAATTGCAATCCGTTTCAATCTTCTTAAACTTTGTCCATCCGAGCCTTCCTTGACATTTGCTTTGTTACTTGTACCTTCTTTTAATGTTTTGAGGGGTTATCTTTAATGTTTCACTCAATTTGGTGGCATTTATTACTGTTTGAATTTTCATAAATTTTGTGGGACAGTTCCTTTAAAGTGGCTTATGCATTGTTGGATCCCTAAAAAAGACCATACTCGATCCAACACGGTCTGACGGAGTTTTAGTTTTTTTATGCAGATATGTTTCTTTGCTCACCAACCTGAGCAACACCTTTACAAGAATGAATATTAAATGTCATTCTTTCCGTCTTTCGCACCCTACGTGAAAGCTGAAAATCTGCAATTTCCAACCCTAAGCGAGACCGCAATTACCCGATTTATTTCCATTAAGGAGTCCCTTGCAGCACTTCTACATGTAATTTCAGGGCTGAGGAGTTTCATGTTGCTTTGTTAGTGACCTCAGAATTAACCATTTTTTGCCGAATCATGGCTTAAATAAAAAGAGAATAATTCTGGAATCTAGCGACCGTACACAGGCAGTAGTCAATGTGGTAGGAATAGTGTCTCCTGTTATAATAGAAACCGCGTTTCAATACAAGTAAAATGTTTAAAGAAGGACTCCAAAAGGCAATTTGTATTTTGCTCAAAACCAGTCACTTTATTGGTGACTAGAACGACACACCAGAATTAGAAACAAAAGATGTGTCATTAAGGTATGCGTCACTGAATGTCAAATGCGGATACCAATTCGACAAAAGCAACGTTAGCTGTTTTTGGTCTTTTTCATTGCCAAGTTGTATCAGTTGTTAGTTACTTCATTGACTGCAAAGAACCACTTTCAACCCGACAAGATTACACGACCATGGTTTCTGATCTACGTTTTCAACAACTTTGTAAAGGTTATTCAGAACAAATTGCAATAAAATCTTTATGAAGGCGGATCACTCACTGTCTAGCCTGTTCCAGGCTCTCAGATCATTGCACTATCAGATGTGGTAGGGATGACGCGTAAGTGAAAGGCGCACGAAATTGATGAGCGCATGATCTGGAAAAAGGAGGTTACCTCCCGTTTGATTTTCGCATTCGCGCTTTGTCACGGACCCGACCATCTCGGAGCCTGGAACAAGCTAACCGCTGTCTTAAGTGGACATTAACAAGAGCAAATGTACCTGAAACTGCCACTTGACTGCAGAGCTCCTTTCAGATCAACAACCTCATCTCTCAGAGCTGCAATGACGCCATCTTTACGATGACACTCTGCTTCGTATGAAGCTAGTCGGCTGAGTTCATCACCCATGCGTAACAGACGTTCCTCCTGGAGAAAATAAAAATAAAAACAAAAACAAAACAAACTGTGACACAAGATAGTCAAGATAAGGATAAGATTTGGAAAGTTGTGACACAACAATTTCTGCGGGTATTTAGTCGGAAAAGTAAGCAGACAAAATTGATTCAATTTTTTACAGTAAAATGGAGAACCCTATACGCTGTAAAAAAGGATAAATTTCAAGGTCAAAAAAGGGTCCATGCTAAGCCTTTGTCCTGAAAAATATTCAGTATGCATTGTGGCTTCCATAATGCACCAAGCTGAAGCAATTACGAAATACATTACTAACATTATTATAGTCCTTACTTGACACCATCACCTGACCAGCAGTATGCAGTCGAAACAAAGCAATCAATGACAAAGACTTTTGTGAGACAATTTTAAACGATAAATAGGCCTACCAGGTAACATGATATTTCTGTAGCATCCGTGCCCTCCCCAAAAACCATTCCAGATACCTCATAGCTCTACACAAGGACTTTGCTTCTGGTGGGGTGTACTGAACAAGTGTTTATACGGGGAGGCTCCACTTCGAGGTCAAACCCCTTGCGACCATTTTTCACTAAAAAGGTACCCCTTTCGTATACCCCTATTGACAAATGGTATCCCTTTCATAAACTTTGTTTAGAAGTTTGCATCCCCAACAGAACGTTTTCTCGACTTTATAAAGGCATAAAATTCATCTGTTAGATCTTTTGGGACCTTTTACAGACCCAAATGACAGATTTCTCTACCCTTTAATACACATCAACGAGTGAAATCCCTACCCTTTCATATACCTGATGGCTGAAAAAGATACCCCTTTCACACGGAACCTCCATGTATAGGCCATCATAGGGAGTACATCCCGCCGAGCTTGATGCTATGTAAGCTTCCCCAGCTTACATAGCATCAACCCCCCTAGACGGTTTTGAGACAACAAATTTCACTGCAGCTCGAAGAAGCTTACCAGATCTTGAATGCTTTGCTCCCCTGTTGTCTGCACTGGACCATTAATCCATCCACCTGTAAATTCAGGAGACAATTGACATGAAAGTCTCACCATTATTATCAGGGGGGACAGGAGGGGGTACTAAACTATACCTTGCATTACTGGCTCCCACCCCTTTTTTCGTGCCTTCCTCTCCCGGTGGAGTATTTCTGGGAAATCTTGGTGAGGATGTGCCACCCCGTTCTCAAAATCCTGATCTTATTTCGGACAAAAACTTTCATTACCCACACCTGTTTTCAGACCAAAAATTACTTACATTTGTTTAAAATCCTTTCAGATTCGCATATTATCTTGCTTTGTTGTTCATTTGGAATTAAAATGACAAATACGTTTATACACTCCCGAAGTTCCCTCAAAAACCATTCCTGATGCCACACCAAAATGTGCAAAGTCTATACCCTTTTTCAGACTGAAACGGCCCAATAACCCTACCCTTTGAGGCAGTAGATACCTATATGGCTTTTAAAAGGGAGTAGGTACCATCCCTGGGGTTTCCGCCCTTTAGACTTTTTTCAATTGCAAAATATTACACACAAGCTCTGACTACCAGCAGTTTTAGAACTCCCACCACTCATATCCCTCCTGCAGCCTATCCTTCTTGGCTCCCTACCCCCCCAAACTCATATCCTTCCTGCTGCCTATACTTCTGGGCTCCCTACCCCCCCACTCATATCCCTCCTTCTGCCTATCCTTTTGGGCTCCCTACCCCCTCACCCATATCCCTCCTTCTACCTATCCTTCTGGGCTCCCTAACCCCCGTCCTCTCCCACCTATGAATGCTTTAGAGGAAAGTATTTACAGGGCCCTTAATGTTAGCATACAATTTTAAAGAAACATAAGAAGTTTGATTTCAATCTCTGGTGACTACTACTACTACTACTACTACTACATACATGTAATTGTCCTTATTCCATGCTATGTCTTTTTGTTAAAATTCTCACATTCATATGGTTAAGTCTGAGTGTAGTAAAAGCTACCAAAAAATTGCTGCAAGGATTTCATTTTAAAAATGGTCTTAAATAAAACCATGAAAATCCACTGCAAATAAAGCAAATAAGCAACCAAAATAAACAAATCTTTGTAACTTTAACTCCAGCAGAACTGCAGACTGGCCAGACTAGCTAGTCCAGTCATATTCAGAAATTCATTTTCAATCAAAAATGTCCAACTTGATTAGTCTATTCCTAAATAGTATACAGGGCAGTGTACCGTTTTTGGTGAACATTCTCCTGAAAACTCTCATTTCTTACTTTTGGACTAATCTCCTTAAATTTCTTGCTAACGGAAATGTAATATTCTTCTTTGGTTGCCCAACTTCACTTAAACATTTTTTCAGTTACTGATCCTTTCCCCTGTATTTTGCACTATTATATAATATTGTATATTATAGTTTTAGGGGGCAATCATTCAATCCCTTCTTCTACAGAAACCAATTACGTGGCTGTGTTCATTAACTGATATGATCTTAAGAAATTCCGGAATTAGTGTTCAGGGAAGACCTTGCGAGCACGATGTCAGACGGGAATAAGATCATTATTCACAGCATCCCAACTGAAAAGGCTGGATGATGATGATAATGATGATGATAGTTACCTCTAGCAACAGGAGGACCAGGTATCCTTTCTCTGCCGGCAGAGCTGGGTCGAGTCCTGGTAGCACCAGCACTTGTTGGACGAGATCTCAGAGGAGGGTGCGGCATAACATTAGCCTGAAAAACAACCACACTACAATAAGTAAATCCTGCCACAGAGTTAAGAAGACTTGTGAGAGAACTTAGTGTAATGGCCTTATCAAGTATGGTCTAGTAACCAAAAGATCATATAATAGTTTCTACTCCTGCTTGCTCCTTGGGAGCACTCAGATTTTTCTTCAGAGCTGCCTGTGACACTTAGTAAATAAACACCTCTTGACTGTACATTTGTTACAACTAGATCAAAATTAAATTCAGGATAAAATTTTAACCTAGGTTGGTTCTCAATTTTCTTTCTCTCCTGGCCCTAAATGCATGAATAATTATAATTAGGGTTAAGAGACAAGGAAAACTGAGAATCAACCTTTTACCTGAATTTAATTTTGACTTGTACCATACATACCAGGCCTTGAATTCGTCATCACATTTCTATCACATATCAATTTATTCTAGTCCAAGCAGTATGGAATATGTTTGTCACATGAACCTAGTTTAGTAGCCTTAGCTCACAAGAGTCTCATGTAGCTTAGTAGTAGAGCATCTGACCTAATAACCACAAGGTCATAGGTTTGACTCCCAATGGGAGTACTGGGTTTCTTCTTTCGAACCTCCCCTGTCACTGATCAGACTGAATAATCTACCTCAGCATCTTTTAACTTCAATTTCACCAAAAATCTTCACTTGCCTGTCAGGCAAATTAAGAACAGAATTCACTAGCCCCAATCACAAAATCCACTAGCCCCAAGTTTTCAGACATGACTTTAATTCTTTGCACACTGGCATTCAGAAAAACTTACTAACCTTTGGATCAGATGGGCCTCTTATTTCTGATACTGAGCCACCAGTCCCAGGCAAACTGACCGGTTCAGTGCTTGTATAAAGTGGTACACCATCAGTACTCACTGGTGTCACAGTGTTGATATAAGGAAGGGAGGTGACTCCACCTAATGGCAATGTTGCCATTGGTGATGACAGAACACGGAGTCTGTATGATTCCCATGGCTTAGACAGACCCAAGGATGGGTAATGAAGTGTTGAGGATGAATCAACAAGAAATTCAAAACCTGCATTTCCTGTTTAGTTGTATGCATGTTAAGGAAGTTGTGTAATCAAATACAAGGTATGCACTGTAAATTCATTTAACTATATAATTTGAGCAAAATACCACATATCATCAACTGAAAAGACACAACTCACTTCGACTCTGACTATGACTTAAGGTTGTCGAAAGGTCAGTCACTGTCAACAGCTGAGTCATATTGGAGCATTAATTAGGACTACATGTACACTCACCACACACTTTCTTTTACTTTTGTTGTCATTTTTAAAAGGATACCAAATCCAAACCTTATTACATCACCGGAGGCAAGTCTCACAGCTGCATTCTGTACACGACAATCATTTACATAAGTACCATGAGCTGAGTTTAGATCTTGAACCACAAAACAACCCTCTGCCTCACTGTATTCTATAACGGCATGCTGCCGCTCCACGTTAGAACACTATATACATAAATAAAGGAAAAAATAAAGGAAAAAGGTAAACTACACTGTAAATTTCATTGCCTTCCATACATGCAACTGGGCACCAGGAAGTTACAATCATTTGTAAATTACATAATTATTATTTGTATAGGTAATAGCATGATTTGTAGTGATATTTGGCATAAATACCACAACTGATATTTCAAAATTGTTATACGTAATTTCACGAGCTGTTAGGCGAGTGAAATTTGAGACAATTTTGAAAGATCACGAGTGGTATTTATATGCAAAATATCACATACAAATCATGCTATTATTCGTTTATACTACTACGTACCCACAAAAGGTTTGTAATTTTCACATGTAGGTATACATTTCAAATTAAGCTGAAATACCACTGCTCTAAGCCAATCAAATTGCAGAAATTTCTCATGTAGTGGTATAAATCAATAAATAAAAACTAAGAGTGACCAACAACAATCTTTTACCAACAAAATTAATGCATTATTATCAAGAGAATTAGTAAAATGATTACTTTAAAGAGAAATGCTTTGATCCTTTATCAAATTCTCTCGACTAACTCTTTAACAAAATGTATGGAGATCAGTCTAGAAAATTTGTATTCCAAAATAAGTTTGAACTTCAAAGGCCCAGTTTAATAATACAGCATAACCTCTCCCTACAAACACTTGTCTATTGCAGATACGTCATGGCTTTTGGAGGGGGACATGGAGGTTTTTGGTATTTAAAGCTTTTTTGTCAAGCGGTATTTTGATCCGTAATTCAAATTTTTATGTCCAATACTGGTCAATATTTTAAGACTTTAGACTTAATGCTAAATAATAACTACACAATTTCTGACAGTTAATCTATGATGAAATTGGTAGCGATCCAATGACTGGGCTTTTGATTGTTATGCCAATCACTTCGAGGTCTTCTCCTGTTTTCTTGCAACATAATACATAATATTTGCTGGTACATACATGCTTGAGATAAACAAACATGTGAGATGGATACTACTTTAAGTAAGCGTAACCAATCATAATGCGGTATCGGCATTTCGTTGGTTCCTTTCGACATGGCATTTCAGTATTTGCCAATTTTTAAATGGTATTGCTGAAACACTTGTGAGAGACAGCGATACGAGGGAAATAAGCTGTCTTTGATAAGACAAGAAGTAACTTAAATATCCTGCTTATTAAATATTCACGTTGACACCTTACGTAACCCTAATCTTAATAATAAATACAACAATGCACGCTTGGCACTCGCCACACCTTCCGTCTTACAAAAGAGAATGACATGAATAGAATACATAAACAAACAGCTCGATTTATCCCTAACTTGTATACCAAAACACTACAAAACTCAGAGTTCAGCTTTAGTTTAGAACAAAGTCTCGAAATCTTTTCGTTAGTTTAGAACAAAGTCTTGAAATCTTTTCGGCGGCCTTCTTTCTCTCTGCGATTGTCAAAGATTAGTTGGCAGCACAAAAGAGGGCACAGGAGATGGAGTTTCCGGTCGACCTTGGTCGATGGATGTTGGCACTGACTCAGGAACATAGGGCACACTTGACTCAGGTACATCAGGCAGAGGCAAATTTCCTCCAGGGGATTCTGCGTTACTGCGACTGGACTGAGGGGTAACAGGCGAATCAAACTGATCAGTAACAGGAGGTTCTCCTGTGCTCAGCAAGTCAAATGGCACAGTGGTTACGACGGTAAACAGCATCACCAGTCTTTAACAGGTAACTGCGCGGACCAGCAAAACCCACGCACTCAGCAGGTGACCGAACTTTCTCACCAGGAAGCCTCACACGCACAGACTCGCCAAGGTTGCGATGAACTTTAAAGGCTTCACATGCCGATCATAATAATTCTTTTGGCGCCATTTCCTTCCGGCCAACGCACGCACATCACCGTGTAGTGGATAACTTGGTCTTAAAGGAGACTCCGACATTGGCAGAAGTGTACGACATTGACAACTCATCAGGTGCTGCGCAAACTTGAACAACCAGCTCCTCACGCAGATCAAAATAGGGTCGAAGACACATAGGAACGTCAGACTTTCTCTCAGGCCAGCCACATTGAATGACAGTGTGCAACTGCTTCAGAACTGGATCATCAGCCGAAACATGGGTTAACTGTTGTATTGACTTCAGGCAAATGGGCACAGCTTAAAGTGTCCGCAACCAACATCTTCTCTCCTTTCAGGTAAGTGACATCCAGACTGTACTTTTGCAGCCTAAGCAGCATCCTCTGAAGACGCTTGGGGGCTGTACAAAGTTCTTTCCGGAAAATGGACTCGAGGGGCTTGTGATCTGTCTGCACTCGAACACAATCACAGCCATAAATGTACGCATCAAACTTCTCACACGCGAAGACAATCACCAACAACTCCTTCTCTATCTGGGCGTAATTTACTTCCTTGTCAGGCTGCCCACCTTGTAGTAATGCCACACCAAGGCCACGCTGAGATGCATCACATTGAATGGTAACATCTTCTTTCAGATTGTAATAACGCAGCACAGGCGTAGCTGAAACTGCTTGCTTGAGGCACTCAAATGCACTCTGTTGCAGCTCGTCCCAGATCCACTCAGCATCTTGGCGGGTGAGGTCTCTCAGTGGCTTTGTAATATCAGACAAACGCGGCAGAATTTTACTAAGGTACTGAGACCAAGGATTTGCTGAATGCCAGCTACATTTTCCGGCGGGGGCATCTCGCAAATTGCCCGAACTTTAGATGGATCTGGGCGAAGACCTTCACAGGTGGCCACATGACCAATAAAACGGACTTCTTTCATTCTAAGCTGCAACTTGTAGCTGTTCAAATGAACTCCGCACTCATCACATCTCTGAAGAAACGATAGATTCCTGTCATGGTCCTTAATTGCAGACAACAACAAAATCATCCGCGATGACCTCAACACCCCTCAACCCTTCAATCAACTCCTGCATTTTACGCTGAAACAGTTCAGATGCAGATCTGATCCCGAACGGCATCCTTTTCCAGTGGTATCTCCCAAACGGTGTATTAAAAGTAGTAGAAAACGAAGACTCCTCATTAAGAACAACCGGCCAGAACCGGTTGGAGACATCAAGCGACGTGAAAACTTTATAAGCTCTGTGAAGACGGGAAGCTACATCTTCAATCGTAGGCATAGGATAGTTTTCCTGCTGCAAAGCATGATTAAGATCCATTGGATCCAAACATATGCGTAATTTGCCATTCTTCTTTGGTATGACAACCATCAAGCTGATCCATTGTCACTCAAGGAATAATTTCATGCTTCTCTAAATCTTCCAGGGTCTCTCTAAGACGTTCGCAGATCGCACCTGGAACTCTGTGAGGAGGATGTTGAACTGGCCTAGCCGACTCATTCAGCACCATGTGGTATTCACCCGCAAGTGCACCAATGCCATTAGCAAAGACACGAGGAAAGCTCTTAATGAGCTGGTCAGCGGACACCGGGGAACTGGCCAGAACATTATGTGTATAAGCTTCACCGTCAAACTCCTGCGGTCGGTTTAACTGGTCGTTGTCTAGATACTGGATAATGTTCATTCCCAGGCACACTTTCCTGCCAAGAATAGGTCTGACTTTCTTGCTGTCAACCACATTGCAGTCAAGCAGGCATCTGAAATGTCCACGCCATACATACAAATGAACTTTCCCAAGGATAGGAGTTGAAGTACCACCATAAGAAATGATCGCCGTATTGACAGGGGTCACATTGTACTAATCAACATCCTTAGTGGTTTTCTTGTATAGATGCAAAGGGACAACATTGCACCGAGCTCCGGTATTGGGCTGAAAACGAAGATAATTTCCAGATTCCAAATTCAGCGTTACCAGTTGAGAATCATCCAACGTTACAGCCGAAATTTCTTGCACTCCAAAAACTTCGTCCGAAAGCTCATCTTCGAAACATACACAGGATGCGTGTGAGTCGTGGGCTTTGGCGCGTGTCCAAAACATACTTTTGTGAAATGACTTTTCTTGCCACACTTATTGCAGCTCCTTCCAAAAGCTGGACAGTTCTCACGCTTTGCTAAGTCATGCTCACGTCCGCAAAATTCACAACTATTTGCCCACGTGTTAGCATTTCTTGAGCCAGGACTGGGCCTACGTTTCCCTCTTTTAGGCTTTTTAGACACAGCATTCCATTTCCGGCATCTGCAACGCTTAAACCGGCATTGCCAACAACCCTCATCTGCTGTACCATGGTATTGCGAATTCCAAACACGAGCTTGTCATGTAAAATCTGATTGGGGGTAATCGATTCGAACTCGAACCTTTCCACTAACTGTCGAAGAGCTGTCTGATAGTGATCATAAGACTCTCCCGATTCTTGCATTCTAGAATAAAACTTATATCTTTCAAAAGGCACATTTTTAAGTGGCTGACAGTACGCTGTAAACTTTTGTAACACAGGCTGAATCTTGTTTTGGTCGGTGTCGCTTGCCCAATACGTAAACATAGCCAAAACTTTCCGCACTTCAGCTCCGACATACAGAAAGGAATGTTGCAACTTGTACTGCTTCGGGTTCCTGATGCAGCTTCATGGCAATTGAGTAATTCTTCCAAGCTTGCTCAAACTCCTTCCACTTTTCTGCTGCGTTCGAATCATGAATATCAAGCCGTGGAGGTGGCGGTAAAGCAAACAAAGCACCCCTAACATTCGACGTATCTACAGATGAATTCGGCAATATAAAATGCACCAGCCCCTTCGCCTCCCGGCATTGCACGTGAAAAGTAAAACACGTAGGTTCCCTACAATATTCCTGACATCATGAAACACTTATGAGAGACAGCGATATGAGGGAAATAAAAAAGCTCTCTATAATAAGACAAGAACTAACTTAAATATCCTGCTTATTAAATATTCACGTTGACACCTTATGTAACCCTAATCTTAATAATAAATACAACAATGCACGCTTGGCACTCGTCACAATTGCAGAATTGTCCCCCTCCTTTTGTGCCATGATGGATATATGGACATTCCTGATTTTCATATTTATTCCCTTATCAGACAACAATCCTTTTGTGAGTACCGGTAATGCACCCTCATTACAGATTATTAATATTATTGTTGTTGTTGTCTACTTATAAGCAATCTTAACATTCTCTCATTTGAACAGTGAGTGACAAAACTTTAGGCAAAGATGGTTTTTAAGGCATTAAGTGGTCTGCTGTCTAGCTACATGGCAGAGACATTTTTAAGATTCAGTGCAAAAGAAATTTAAAGTTGCCCAGAATTAAACCAGCATCGGACAGCGGTCATTTGTGTTCAGTGCTGCAAGCTTGTGGAACAGACTTCCTGAGCAGTTGAAAGACTCTACCTTGACATCTTTGAAAAGCAAACTTAAGCGAATTGAAGTTTGCAAATTGTAATGGACAATCCTTAGCAATTCCTTAGTTCGTTTATCTTAAAATTTTCTCCTATAAATCATAGCCTCTTGTTTGATTATTGCATTTTTTTTCTGAGAGCCATGTGTACATTATCAAGAGATATTAAGTGCTACCCTCGAAAAAAAAGTTTTATGTTTATTATTATTATTATTATTAGGTGAAACCTGGTTAGTAAACACTGTAGTTTTATTCAGAATTTTTCCATGTTACCTGACCCTAACCATGCAATTAGCATACAGAGAAAATTCTTTAGTTTAACCTGAGAATAGATTTTATGTGCAATGAAAAATTCCAACCTCTGTAATACGACAATAGACTCTGTCCCTTTGGTGTCCATATCAAGGAGGTTTCACCGAATCATGTGATGTAAACTAAAAAACTGGTCAAGTTAGGACTTAAGGTTGGTTAGATTTTGAAGTGGGAAATAAATAAATTGAATTGAAGTTGAAAATTCTTGCTATCTTTAATAAGAGCTCTTGAAAGAAGTACTGTACTGTGAATTGATATTGAAGATTTAAGTGGTGTTTCCAATCGTGTGTAATTAGTATCCGAGGAGTATTTCAACAACAATCGGAGCAACCAGTTGCTACTCTTCAATGTGATCAAAGACCCTACAGAAAATTTAACACGTATATCGAGGTGGTTCACAGCTATTGAAATTGGAAGTTTGTTTGAAGACAATTTCGAACCTGATATCTGTTTAACTAAGTTAATTAGCAGCTTAAAATTGCGACTCGGTGACCTGTGTAAGGTTATTCAAGAGCGAAGAAAACGAAGCTTACTTTTTCAAAACTTTTCCTAAGTATACTGACAGATTCAGTCAATAAATAAGACGGTTGTAGTTCCTTGGAAGTTATCACTGCTCTATCGGTATGTCTCGACATTATTCTGATTTTGAAAAACTAACAGAGATCATAATAATTATTTAGCTAATCGTTACTAACCTGAATAATCACATCGCTAGCGCTGCCTTCACATCCTATTGTTGTGATTGGGTGCCGGAGTTGGTGTAGACAGCTTCCATCTCGTGAACGAAGACACGCTTTCATTGAAGCACTAAAAATCTCATCATATACCGCTAAAATACTTCCTTGATTGTAATAAAATTAGATTCAGAACGATTATAAACATTCGATCGTTCTTGATAGCATTCCAAAATGGACGGCAATGTTCGCGTTCGGCGGTTGCTATGGCCACTGTGGTTTTCTCGACCCAGTCTCACTCGGTGAAAAAAGACTTTAAAGAGGCGCGAACATAATCGAGGCAATTAATCGAGGCTAATGGGGGTAACCCAATTCTTAGTTAACAACTGTTTTTTCGGCCAAATATCCACTTAAAAACTGTCTGCAACTTAATTAGTTAACTACCATTTTTTTGGCCAATTCTCAGTTAACTACTATTCTGGTTAGCTATTTCAATAGCTAACCAGAAAGTTAAAACTTTCACTTTCCTACAGCGAATATTATTTCGTCATAACCCGAATTTTCCTTCTTGCAGCAAGTCAATCACTTTTGGGGGTAGGTTCTAATAAAATCAAGGTATAAATTTACATGAACTCTGCCACTAGTACAATTTATTAGTAACTGAAAATATAAGTCGTATAACCATCAATATGACACCAGCCTCATAGATCCAGACGCACCAGTCATGATCTCGTACTGATCTTCCCGACATGTTCATGCATGTCCTGCTATAAACTACTTCAAAGTCACCTTCCTCGACACTTTCACTATCTGATCGGAATCAGTCTTGTACTTATCTGGTTGCTGTATGTCCTGTATCGTGTTGTTGGCCTAAGTTTCAATCCATTTTTTATCCTTGCAATCCATTGCAACAGACGACGAGAAACATTATCAATGCCAAAATAATTCAGGACTACGTTCACCTGGACGATCAAACTCAACCTACTTTTGATATGACTCATGGATTCAAACCTTTCACCAGAACTGAACCATTATTTTTGGAATTCAATTGGTGAATTCAATCATTGTTTGCACCAATGGGAGAGACATAGTTGAGAGTGCTGACAAAGGCATGAAAGTATTTGACACGGGACAATTCGACTTTTATTTCGTGAGTGTATCCCTCTTCGAACTCGTAGTTCTTTTAAGCGATTCCTTTACTGTGGTTCCAAAGTCTTGGGCCTAGTTCAAAGCACTAAATGTGTTGTGTTGAAGTGAGAAACCGCGTGTAGGTTTTCCACCTACGTTGTCAGAAGTTTTTTTTACCCCGATATAGGTTTTTTTCGACATCCTCTTCTGCGTCCTGCAATGTTACCTTTTTTGCAGACATACCTTATTCGCGTATTTCAAAAGCCTCATGAAGGTATCCAAGGGTTTTAAGAAATGAAGCTGCCGCATCTGTTTCAGTAAGATCGGTTTAAACACGAGCTTTTCTTTCTATTAAAAAAGTCTCAATAGTTAGAACTCCAACATCAGTTACAAAAATGATTTCTCGTAAGTACAAATTCTATGTACTTGAAAGAAAGACTGCTGATATCTTTGAACCCTCAGAAATTCTTTTTAGCCAGAACCCAGAGGCCAGAACCAATGCTAAGAGTCACAGTTTTTTTTATTTGGGTGATGTTTAACTTAACGATCTTTTGGGTCCGTGAAGACAGTAATTTCCTTTTCCGAACACAGAAATCTTGTTAATATCAGAAGACGAATTATTCGTTGAGCTGTCTACAACCAACTCTTTGACTTACGCTTTCTGTTTGTCAGGTACTGCCCTGGTACCTTTTGCACATAGTATAAGTTAATGTGCCACCTGGTCGTCAGCGGGACAGCACCCTCATAATCGGCTCCTGGCGCGAAATGAAAAAGTAGAGGAAAATCGAGGTCGTCTTGAAACATGGGCGATCTTTGCATAGTGTTAAACAATAAAAATGGAAGCGATGAAAAATGTTCTCAATGCGCATGTTTTTGACTTAAAATTATTAAAGGAATTTTATTTGGTGTTCAAGATTTATGATTGAAAAATTCATTCGTTTCGGGAAATATCTATAGGTTAAGGGAAATATCATGAAAAACAATTTGACTTATTTTACTTGGTGTTAACTCCTACGCATCAGCACTGATCGAACGACATCCTCTCCCGAAATGAGAAAATGATTTCTGTTGATTCATTCTCCTTGGTCTTGTTGAAGGAAAATGTTGATTGAAGAGTTACGTTAGCCACTTGTGGCAATTGCTACGATATATGGTTGTAGTGGAGTTGTTGTAAGCGTTGATTGGTTTGAGTAAGCTACTTCACTACTAGTAGGTCAGTTGGTTTCTGAGTTAATTGATGATCGATAGAAAGTTTCTCCTGACATGAATTCGGTGCATTGGAGATGTACCAATTTGGTGCATCTCCGTGGTAACACTTCTGTTCATGAGATATGTTTAATTAGAGCCTTTGACAGGTGACAAAGCCTTGTTTATATTGAGTATTTTGTCCAGTTTAACATTTTTGACCTTAATCTGGTCTACCTTCGATATTTACCAGGAAATGACTACCGTGCTTGTTTTTAACAGTTTTGAGCGTGTTTCTTTGAGTTTTTAACCGAATTCTTGGTAGTGGATAACTTTAATTAAGCTTAGTGATTTTATAGGTGTTTTTGTAGTTAAACAACTATTGTTTTAAATTCTGCCTTGTACTTTGAACTGCATTTTTAAGTTTGCGATCACGTTCGTGGTTAATTTATGGAAAAATTGTAGCCAATCATCTTCGATGAAGAAGCTTAATACCTTCTGTAAATTGACAACAACCTTAGATTTTCAAACTGTAATTTTAGTACTTTCCTATCTGTTGATATGAAAAGTCTGTTTACTGGTATGTTGTTCTCCTAGTTTTATATTGGCCGGTTGACTTGAGCTTAACAGTGAAAACTTCGGTTGAAGAGACATTTCGACAAAGCAATTATCTCGAAGGTTTCATGCTAATGGCACTGTTTTAACCAATCGGATTAGACTTACGTCAGCATTCGGTTTACATTAAGTAGCTGGTTTCCTGGCTGATATAAAAATGCGTGTAACACTGATTTAGCAGAGAATTGTAAAATAGGAGTTGAGCTAACTTCGTGACATTGGACTAAAGAATAAAAAGGAGTCAATTTAACAAAGTAATCGTCTCTTTGTTGTGAGAACCAGCTAGTTCCCCAGAAAGGTTCTTCAACAATAGTCTCCTTCGCAAGCTCCCTGCCTCTATGCGTGGGCACTGACAAGTTCTCCACTTCCAATGGAGAATTTTAACTCGTAACCTAGCCTGCGTAGCATGGCGGTTTTGGTTGGGCGCGCTAAGTAATAAAGGCGGGCGAGAGCAGAGAAACCGCGAGGAGATTGGGGCGGAAGCAACTTGATTTTTATTTTTCTCGCGGTTTCGCCGCTCGTTCACGCGCGCTTCGCGCGCGAATTTCGCGGCTACGCCGCTCCTGCGCCCGGCCTGACAAAACCGCCATGCTACGCAGGCTACACGTAACCTCGATGAGTCGACACCAGAGCCGACAATACGGTCATGTGGTATTGGTCAGTGGATATCCTGTTTTGACATCTGTCAATTATCCACATCATTGATTGCAGTCTCCGAAACGCGTGAAAAACGCAGTGCGCATGCGTGCCTTCCCTGCTTCCGGCGCAAATTTGCTAGTGCCTGCCCCAATCGAAATTATACGCGATACCAAAACAAACTAGATTCCGGCCGCGAAATTCAAAAAAGTAAGCTCCACACACAAAAGATAAGCTTAGAACTTCACGAACACAAAGTTTATTAATTGCTTTAGTTTCTCTCTTTTGCACCACATACTTTCCTCCTTGCACCAAAGGCGAAAATCATGTTTGAAAGTCCACGCTCGCTCTGGCAGCACTTCGCCGTAGCCATTGTTGCTGTTTTGGTCATCATGTCGCTGAGCTCGGTCAATGCGAACAACGAAAACGACCAATGCATGCTAAGTGGAAAAACAAGGACGGAAAAACCTTGTACTGGACGACTTTACCAGTTAGTTAGTTAAGTTAGTTTAAGTAATTTTTTTTTGTGCTTAATCAGCTAGAACCGGCTGCAAACCATTAAACATATCAAACATTCCTAAATGTTTTTCAATTTAAATGAGGAAGATTTTGCAAATTTTAATTATTGAAAATAGAGACCTTGCGCATGCTCAAACGTTTTGCACGCGTGTCGCAGTCTCCCAAGTTTGACATTTAACGTTGCTTGCTCTGTGGTGCAGACGGACGGGTGGTTGTGTGGGTATTTCTTTCAACGTAACAATGGGAAAATTGACCTAAAGACATCTGGTTTACTAACTTAAAACCAGGGGGGGAGGGGAGGCCTCGACTTAGAGAAATTTTGTATATCTATGATCCACCAATTTATGACATCACATCCGGTTGCAGTTCGCGCGAGGCACAAAGATGGACGCCCGATGCTACTTGGTTTCCTTGTTATTCTCACCCACAGGCTAACGGAATTATGTATCTTGAATACCGAGAATGTTGAGAAGGTATATAGCCGGCCTTTCAAGTAAATGTCATGACCAAACAAAGAAGATTTAGTATTATTTTAACGATAAATATCATGCAGCTGCGGGGAATGTCATGGCGAGTCTTGCGATGTTTCAAAACGAGTGTCGTTAACGTTTTGCGCCTTTTACGGCCTCTGATTTAGAGAAGTCATCAATCAAAATATAATTTCCTGAGCGGAATAGAATGGGGAAAACGCCGATGGCCACAGTTTAAAGTGTTCACTGGGTGTTTCTAAAACGAAGACCCAAAAACGAAGACCTAAGACCTAAAACCCCATGGACTAAAGTAAAACGAAGACCCCTTTGACTAAAACGAAGATCCCTTGGACTAAAACGAAGACCCCTTTGACTAAAACGAAGACCCCTTGGACTGAAACGAAGACCCCATGGACTAAAACGAAGACCCCATGCCGCCACGGCAATGAACGAAAACAACTGTCGAACTGCCACAGGCAAACCAGCTTTCAGTGCAGTCACGCAAAGCATGTCACGTCACGTAATTATGCCCCGCGCATTTGGGAAGGAGGGAAGAAATTCTTCCACGCTGTG